GGGGGGAGGGAAGTGTGTGTGTGTGTGTGTGTGTGTGTGTGTGTGTGTGTGTGTGTGTGTGTGTGGTGTGTCACTCTTTTGGTTTACTTTTTGAAGATTTCAGAAAAATACAGCTATAAAATATTTGCTAAAATTTTCATGAAACTTTAACATATATACCAGTGAATATCCTTTTGTCCACAAGTCTCTTATCTCTTTAGAAGGTGAGAACAGCCAAATGGACTCTTGGTTAATAAGTATTGGAGGGGAATTTCAGAGGCAGACAGGGCTATTCAACCCTTTGATACAGAAAATGATCTCCTAAGGCCATATGCATTCAAAGTGAATGCATCTAAACCTATTGTATTATTTGCCCAGACAAATCACCTCCTCACCCCCATTTCCATGTTTATGGGGCCTGTAATGAAGGGGACAGTGGGAGGGAGAGACCCTTGTTTAATAATTAAACAAGACTAGGGCATTAAAAGAAATGGCCTGGCAGCAGGTAGCCTCAAAATTAAACAGGAAATGAAAGGAAAGGAAAAGAATAAGAAGTGCTACTTAAAGAGTCACGCTGAAAATTGGCAGGAGATGGGGGGGAATTTAGAGCCTCCATCATCAAGAAGCTTTCCTCCCTGTTTCAGGCACAGAAGGAACCACAACACAAGAGTTCGATTCATGCTAATTGCCTTCTCCATTATTTTCCCGTCTTTTCCTTAACTCTTTTTTAAAAATTAATTATTTTTTCAATCAGAGAGTTGACATTCAATATTATTTTATATTCGTTCCAGGTGTACAGCATAGTGGTTAGATAGATGTTTATATAATTTATGTGGTGATTTCCCCCCACCCACCCAATTAGTCTAGCACCCACCTGGCACTATATGTAGTTGTTGCAACATTATTGACTATATCCTCTCTATTGTACATCCTTTTAACTCTTTAAGTTTTCTCTGAAAACAACAACTTTCTATTTTCTGCCTTGCTTGATGTCCTTCTAAGTCTCTGAATTCAAGACCCCAGTAGTCACAAATAAACGTTTCTTCCATTTCGAATATGGAAGCTTCCTTTCCTACTCTTCTTGAGCTCTGTAGGCTAATGTACACTTGCAATGCCTGACATGAAATTGACATTAGACATTCATTCACTGAATTATTTCCTTAATGAGATGCCACTCCTGGCTGAGAAGCTGAATGAGAGAAAGGAGGTTGCAGGAAAAAAATAAAACTAAGGCTGTCTGAGAGCTTGTTGGAAAGTCACAGATTGACCTATGAGTGCTAAGCCACAAATAGAGGAGAAAGTGCTGGAGTGCTGTGGTTAAATGAAGCATAACAATTCTTTTTCAATCATTTCTTTACCTTTTTCTTTTTCGGATGGGTGGCAAACAGGTTCTGCAAAAATGCTGAGCCCTTACAATTTCCACCTCTGGCTACATTTTATCTAACTTTAATGAAAGCAGCAGCAAACAGAAGGAAGGTCAGTGACACACTTCCTGATCTGTACAAACCTCATAAAAAGTTTGTTGTTCTGAGGCAGCATCTTACTCAGGAGCTGATAGGGTGGGGGCACAGGGGCTAGGGGGACAGGAGGAAAAAGGGGAGAAAGAAGGAAAATGCCTCTTGAAGTAAATTCAGATGATTAAAATTCCATCACATGGGCACCAGCCTCAGGAAAACTTTCAATAGAATACAAAATCTTGGGCTCAGAAACCTTGAGGCAGAGCCTGTGAAATCAAGGTCTCTGGAAAATGCAGACAGGAAAAGTTCTGTATATGGCATGGCTGCTTTTGGCAGGGAACTTGCAACTTGAAATCAAATTCATCTCTAGCCAAACAATGTGAGATTTTAATAAGAGCACTGGGAAAATTTCTAGAAGGAAAGAACACTTCTAATTTCCATTGTTCTGCAGACACTCCCTCTCAGGCAGTAACTTTTTTTCCCCTCACAATTACTAAGTGGGAATCTGCTTATTGGAACATGAGAAAAGGTAAGCCATATTTTTTTATTCCGGGAAAGGAGAAGTGTGATTATTTAATTCTTACATAACTCTGGGCAGATATGCAAGTGCACTTGTGTGATTTAGCAGAATTTGTGCTTTCTTAGCCTCCCACCCAAGTAACTGGAAGACATCTACATTATGACAGAATGCTCATGGGGGTCCCAGCCCTCTGCTTTGCTTTGAGGCTGGCTTGCAGGGTGTACTGTGCAAAACATGTAACTTCTTTCTGTTTCACAATGGGCATCTGCAAAATGGGATGGAGTGGGGGGTGATTCTGAAACTATAAAAGCCTCAATGTTGCTTTAAAGGTACACAAGCTTCTCTTAAAGTGCTTTGTCATCCACAACAATTTTATTACACACACAATAATAACAACTGTTATGCCTGAGCATCTATAGCCATGATTGTGACCCAAACTTGATCCAACTAATCATTTAGTTTACTAAGCCTTTTCCCACTCTTAAAAGTTCTCAAACTCTATTTTAGGATCACAAACACCAGTGAATGGTAAAGCTTAGAAAAATATGGTATAGAACAGGGCGTTTTTGCTGTTTTAAACTTTTTATTTTGAAATAATTATGGACTCATGAGAAGTTATAAAAATAGTACAGAGAGGTCCCTTGCACCCTGCACCCAGCTCCCTCCAATTGTAACATCTTCTATAACTATAGTACATTATCAAAATCAGGAAATTGACATTGGCACACCTAATTCACTTGATACTGTTGACTACATTCAGACTTTTCTGGAATTAGAACAGGTTTTTAAAACCATTTGGACACAGCTGGAGGTAACTTGAATCATTTGCATGAAATTTCCTCTTGAGGTAACATGGTGTAGGGAATTTGAGTTTGCTGAGATATTTGGGGCAAATCATTTGTTACTGAGCCTCAGCTTGTTTATCTGTGAATTAAGAATAATAATACTATGCAAGTAAGTTACAAGGAAATATCTCCAGTTCAGTGAGAGTGGCACATTTTAAGAAACTTAAGTATAATAGTGTCCTTTCCCACACTGGACCTGACACTTCAGCTCTCGGGAGTTTACAGGAGTCCTAAGTGATCTAAAAATCAAGCCGGGTCTTCATTTTTTTTTTTTAAACCAACATTCCTGACAAAGGCAGTCCTCAAAATACTTGAAGTGAGAAGTTTGAACTCAAACATGGGCTTAATGCCGCTTCTCTTAAAAGCAACTCCTTACCCTAAGAACGTGACTTGAAAACTTTGGAACCGCCCTGCTCCATGAAGCCACCCTTCATCCAGCAATCTAGCTGGCCTGGACTCTGTGCTCCTGTGAGGTGGTACCCATGCTGGAGTTGAGGGCTGAGTTAGACTGTCATCCCATTCACTTCCCTCCCTTGGCTCTGAGGTGGACCCTAGAAGCATCCTCAAGCTTCCAGGCTGGAAGTCAGAAGGAGGAGATATCAGGCAGTCCCTAATGGTGAGTTTTCTTTCCTCCTTCCTGACTACCTGCCACCTTGTGCAGGTGCGTCCTTTGCACTAATTGAAGCATTGGTCCTGAGGATGAGGATGAAACACGTAGGGGCTTCTCCACCTCTTGGTTTTTATTGTGTCTCACAATAATTTGCCTATTATAAGCCAACTGGGCAAGTGCCATCCTTCCTTCTCTATTTGGTACAGTGCCTGATATGCTTTAATGGCCAGTTAATAAAATTACAGTAACAACCCTCTTTCTGGCCTAGTGTTCTGGTGGCAGCCCCAGACAGACGGGGAGTCTGCAGTGGATTTCCTCAGAGCCTGGGTTCCCCGGAAGAGGTCCCCGGGTCACTGCAGTGCTGGCTGGAGATGGCATAGAGAGAGTCAGGGCAAATGAAGGTTGTGTGCCTTCTGCCACACAAACAGGGACGAGTTGAGAAAAGGTGAAGTTGGGGTGGGGGAGTGGGTGTACCTCTGCTTAAGGGAAACCAGAGTTTTTTTGTGAAGAGCTTCAATCTTGGGACCAGACATTGTTTTACTCCAGCTTTGGCTCAGCCACTGACCAGTTGTGTGCTAAGGACAAACTCCTTACCGCTCCTTAGCCTCTGTGTTCTCATCTGGAAATGGGAATAACAATACCAGCTTCATGTTATAGTGAAGACAAAACGAAAGTGAAGAAAAGGTACCTAGGGCCTCATTCATGCAAATGTCTTCCCCACCCTAATCTTCTAGAAATATCCAAGCACAATTCAACCAGGAGATGTGCATCTGTCAACACTCACGCACCAAGGGTCTGCTACAGCTTACACAGGCTTGGGAGTCGGTTCCCGCGGACCTTTTTAGGTTGGGTGTCAAAGCTACCCTGGGAGCATAGGTGGGGTGGGACAAGAACAGCTGCAGGATGGCGTTGCACTGAGGAAACCAAGGCAGGTCACACGCTGAGACAGGAATGCCTCCTGAGGACCCTGTTAGCCGGGTGTGAAGGCTTCAGCCCTGAGAGGCAGGTGTTTTTCTCTCCTGAGCAGCCGGGAATAGGGGGACACCCGGGTGGCAGGGGTCGCGCTCACTGCTCTGGGGGGCTGCTCGCTGGCGCGCGGGGGCGGGGGGAGCAAGGGGCGTCGCCGCGCGGCAGAAGCGGGGCTCGGGCGCCCCGTCCCCCGCACCCCCCGCGCCGCGGCACGGCGGCCGCCAGGTGGCACCAGGGCCCGGGAGCTGGGCGCAGCCCGCGGGCGGGGC